CATCTCAGAATTCAAGCTATCATAAAATTGACTTGATTACCAATATAGCCTATAGTGGAAATCGTCACCCAATGACCTGGTTCACTGAACAAAATCTGCACCATCTCATGTGCAACAGGTTCAAAAGATGACACCTGAGCAAATACTGTTACCTGAAACCCAGAAATGAATGGGAACTGATCTGATAATAATTTTTGCGCAACACATTTTTTCCCACTTGATATAATTTAGCGACTGGTTAAATTCAAATTTAAATCTGCAATCCAGTCTTTTGTTTGCTCAGTTTTCTTTTTGTTTTTTAATGACAATGAGGAGCGTTTTTCGCTTACTATCTGCACTACCTGAACCAGAAAAGCTCCAAAATGGTTTTATAGTACCCTTCGGTCTACCTCGCTGTGACTTAACATCGGCAACAAGCAACTGCTCTCTAATGGCCGAAATAGAATTGCTAGAAATACATGTGTCTGCATTATTATCAGATGCAGAACTACCAGAAATTAAATGACTGCTTGAAGCAACAGGACTGTCACAAATAACAGGATTGCTAGATGCTACAGGACTGTCACAAATAACAGGATTGCTAGATGCTACAGGACTGTCACAAATAACAGGATTGCTAGATGCTACAGGACTGTCACAAATAACAGGATTGCTAGATGCTACAGGACTGTCACAAATAACAGGATTGCTAGATGCTACAGGACTGTCACAAATAACAGGATTGCTAGATGCTACAGGACTGTCATCAATGCTTAAATGTACAGGAGCATTAGTTCTCCAAGAATTGTAAATACCTTTCATTGTGTCTAGTTACTCAAAAAAATTCTTTCTGCCCACATGTTGCTAAAAATGATATCTTTCAAAGTATCATTCGCCATTCAGTCAGGGTAGTAGTTGTATTGCTCTCTCTTCTGATAATAGTGATTGATGACCCTGATATCTCTGTATTTAAAACCTCCTTCATCCGACTCCTGTGAATAAGACTAGATTCAAACATAGTAACACCCATATCCCTTCGACAAGCAAAGATATGATGACATGGCAATAAATACATGCTATGAAAAGTACAATTGCATTGTAACATTTCAATACTTGCCTTGTACTCTTTTTCTCCATTCTCTATAACATACGATTCAGTACCAGGCTCTTCATTTAGTGTAACTTCATACTTATTTTTCTGATTGTCTATTTTTTTTCATGATCAGATCTACAGCAGGAGCAGTACAAACATTTGTAACCAAACACTGAATATTACTTACACTTCTTGTATCCAGTCTTGTCTTTAAGTTATGTACTGTAGTTGGTGTTTAGTGAACATTCATTGGAAAATCTGATAAGTCGCTCAATTGCTTCACTTAAGTGAACATTTCTTCCCAGGTATGCCTTTATTATATATTCAATAAAAGACTGAGGAGATACTGACACTACATCTTTATACTTACTCGTATAGTCTTCCTCTGACTGTGAATACACCAAAGCATGGACGGCTTTCATAACTGTTGTCTTCAATTCCTTCCCAATTTCTAAATCTTTTTTTTTCAAATACTTGATGACATGGAATGTGCATAATAGGATGGGAACATCTGGCATGACTTCTCAGCAATTCTAACTTTACTGAGATCATTGTGTTCTCCAATATGATGAAAATAATTTGATAATAGTTTCTTTTGATTCATTCTTCACAAATGCATAACCAATAGAGCGCCCCTTACCTTGACCATCAATATTTACCTTGTATGTTCCATCAACAAAGAGAATTTCTGGATACTCATTATATAATCTTTTCATCTCAATTTTTTGAAAAAATACTAAGTCAAGTTCGTTTTTGGTGACATCTCGATAACAATTGTTATATTTGGATCAAGACGCTGTAGTTCAGTGAATTTATCAGCAATCTTTTGACCTACTGACCTACCTTCTGATTTGCACTCTTCTATCACCCTTTTCATATTATGTATATCTTTTGAAATTACCTGTTTGCCTGGCTTCCTTGCAACAACACTCTTAAT